TGTCTTTTCTGCTCTCTGACCTGCTTGCTGCTGTTTGCTAATTTTCCTCTGTAGATCTTGTTTGAAACCTTCAACATACCTGCCCTGTATTTAGCCAATCAAGGAATCCTTTCTCTGTATGCCTCAGGCAGAACCACAGGTAGGTGACTCTGGTGAACCCCATCTACTTGAGCTATCATTATCTCCAACCTTCTGACTGGTGGCACTCATTCTCCAGTCATTTTTATGACCATTTTCATCTCTTTCTGCTAGACAATTAACTGCCAAGCATCAATTCAATTAGCTCATTTTTTTCTTAACAGTTGGGTGTTTGGTTTTTTTTTTGGTCCAATTGATGTTGTAATAGGCTCCACTTGTTTACAGTGAGCCATGTGATACATTTTGACATAGTTCTACCCTTGAGAAGCCATCACCATCACCAGGAAGGAACACATCTGCCAACCGCAAAAGTTCCTGCTGCCACTTCCACCCGGCACATTTTTCCCCTGACTGTACTCAGGAAGCACCAATCTGCTTTCTTTCTATGGTGTAATTTTATGTAAATGTGCAAAAGGAGCCACACAGTATATACTTATATTCTTGTGTGACTTTTTTTCCCATTCCTCATGGTTGTTTGTAGATTCCATGTCATTGGTGTATCCATAGTTCATTCTTTTTTATTACTGAGTAGGATTGCATTGCATGATTATGCCACAGTTTGTTTACATTTGCTTATGAAAGGACATTTATGGTGTTTCTAGTTTGGGACTATAATAAATGAAGTGGCTAAGAACATTTATGAAATAATCTCTGTGTAGTTTAAGTATTTATTTATCTCAGATAAAACACTCGGGATGAATCCCTGGATCACATGGTAGGTATAGTTTCATTTTTTAAGAAACTGACAAACTGTTTGCTTTAACTTGGTGACTTAGTTGTAAGGAGATGTGCTGCCAACCCAAAGACACATGGATTGAATCCACCAGCTGCTCTGTGGGAGAAAGATGAGAGATCTCCCCCCATGTGATTTACAGCTTCTGGAAACCTGCCGGAGGGTCAGTGATGGGTCACTTCCAGTGTGATGGCGCATAACAATGTTGACAACAACAACAAACAACTAACTGACTTAACTAATTTTATTTCTCCACTATCAGTGTGTGAGAGTTTTAGTTGCATGACAACTTCCCCAGCACTTAGTATGGTCATTCTTTCACGTTTTAGCTCCAACAACACTACGTATATAACGGTATCTTATTGTGGGTTTGGTTAGTGTTTTTTCTGAAGACAGAGTCAGAGAAGGAGAGGAAGACCTCCAACGAGATGAACTGACACAGTGATTTCAGCATTGAGTTCTAGTGTATCAGAGATGAGAAGGACGGCAGAGGATAAGGCAGGGTTCAGATCAGCTGTTCGTAGGGTTACTGACTGGTGCTCTACTTGACAGTTCCTAAAAGCAACGATGTTACGCATTTTGCTCCTCAATAATATTATTTGCTGTATATCTTCTTCGGTAACATATCTGTCCAAGTGCTTTGCATGATTTATTTTTTTCACAAAGATGTTTATCATTGCCTTTGGAGAAAGCTTTTTCTATTCTGTGTACAAGTCTTTACTACCTATATGGGAAGTTTTGGTTCTTCTAAAGATATATTTTTGACAAATATTTCCTCTCAGTCTGTGGCTCGTCTTTACATTCTCTTAACAACGTCTTTTGAAGTGAGGAAGTTTTAAATTCTATTAACTTTAACTTAGAAATTTGTTATTTAACAGATAACGATTTTTGTATTGTAACTATGAAATAACGTGTCTAACTCAAAGTCATAGAGAATGTTTTTACCCTGTTTTCTTCTAGAAATTTTGTAGGTTTTGTTTAACAGTTTATTCTCTGGCTCATTTTAAGTTAATTTTGAAAAATGAAGTGAGATATAGATTAAAATTTACTTCTTTCCATGTGGATATCAGTTGTTCCAACACCACTGTGTAGGTCTCTTCTTGCTTTGTTGAGTTGCCTTTGCATGTGTTTGAAAATCAGTTGTCTGTGACTTTTTCTAGATTCTTTATTCTCTTCTATTGGCTATCTTTTGGTCAATACTTTATGATCATGTGTGCTATAGCTTTGTAAGTCTTGAAATAAAGTAACAAACGTTTTTTGAAAATAAAAATTCTGGCCATCCTAGGTGATCCACAAGTCCATGTGAATTTTATACTTAGTTTATTACTTCGCCCAAAACCTGATTGGATTTTGATTGGAATTGTGTGGAATCTAGTGATCATTTTGGGGAGACTAGACATCTTCCTAGTATTGATTCTTCCAATCCATGAATAGTGTGTATTTCTTAGGTCATTTTAAATTTCTGGTATAGTGATTTATGGTCCAGAATGTATAAGTTTTTTGCATCTTTTGTCAGACTTAACTCTCAGTATTTTAGTTGTTTAAATACTATTTGATTCTACTGTAAATTACAATTTCTGATTGTCTATTGCAGCCACATAGAAACACAATTGAAGTTTGCATATTTAATTTGTAAAAATCATATCCTGTAGTCCTACTAAGCTAATTTTTTTTTTAGTGGAAGTTTTTTTTGTTTTGTTTTGTTTTTTGTCGATTCTTTCATGTTTTCTACTTGAGCAATATGCCTCTTTACATAAAGGTAGAATTCTTTCCAGACTAGATGCTTTTATCATTTATACTTCTTTTTCTTGCCTGGTTGTACTGGCCAGAATCTCCTGGTAACACTGAGTAAAGGGATGAGAGCAGAAATTCCTGCCAACTTTTACCATGAAGTACTCGTAGCTGTGAGTTTTTATTCCCACTACATTGAGTCAATTTCAACTCATAGTAATTTTCTTCCAGGTTTCTGAGGCTAGAAATCTTTTTGGAAGGAGGTGGTCCACCCATATTTCTCCACAGATAAACTAGTGGTTTTGAACTGCTGAACTTTTGGTTAACAATGTAACATAAAGTGAATTATGCCATTAGAGTTCTTACTGAGTTTTAAAGACCCTTCAAAAAAAATCAATGTGAGCATGTTCTTTTGTATTCTTACTGTGTGAGAGGTTAGTCTTTAATAAAAAAATGGAGAAGAAATGTTAGATTTTGTTCAATGCATTTTCTGTCTATTGATTTGAATATACAGATTTTATTTTTTCATTGATTAATAGAGTAAATGGAATTGATTGATTTTTTTTAATGTTAAAATGACCATGAATTCCTGAGACAGGCCAATTTGATCTTTTTATATATTGAGTGATTCCATTTTGCAAAAGTTTTATTTAGGATGTTTGTGCCTGTGTCTCTGGGGGACAATGGGTTGTAGCTGTCTTGTGACTTTTCATCTCGTATTACCTGACATGCAGTATCTTGAAATTGTTTGTGCACACATTTTGTTTGGTTTGGGATTTAGTTGGTTTTGATTTTTTTACATAAATTAACCCATTTATTACAGACTAGAGATACTTCTCATGGGGGAGCGCCCACTGGCCTTTCAGGTCCTTCAGTCTTCTGACTTCACTGTGACAGCTGAGGTGGTGCTGCAGGTCCAGGCACCACCAGCTACTGTCTTCATGCAAGAGCCACAGTGCCCGATGCCCACGCTCGTCTCTTCATTTTGGTTTTGCCTCAGAGGAGCAAGTGTACTTGGCACACTGGCCGATTTAATTTTTCTTTACCATCTTCCTGAGTAAGGCACTGTAACAGTTCCCGTATTTACCTACAGTGCTGACTTTCTTGGCGTCTTTGGCCATTTCTCTGCAAACAAGCACCAAACCCAAAGAGCTGGTTTGGATTTTTTGTCTTTACACTCCTGGAGGGATTGGAAATGCAGTTTGTTACCCATCTTGGAAGTGGAAGTCTGGACTTCACTTTCTTAAAAATTTGACATTTTTAGGGGAGCTTCTGGTGGCCTAGTGGCAAGAAGCTGCACTGCAATCCCAGAGGCGCATGGTTCGAATCCATCAGATGCTCTGCCGGGGAAGGAGGGACAATCTCCTCCTGTACCAGTCAGATCTGATTTGACAGTACACACACACAAAATAATAAAAATTAAAAAACATAAATTTGAAGTTTTGGGGTGTTAGGCCAGACTCAGCAGTGAGAGGAGCCAATTACCAGCCCCTGTAAGCAATGCCACACGGCTCTCATTGCTGCTGGATTCATCTCACTTCACAGCGACCCTACAGGAGGACAGAGCTGTTCCTCAGCATCTCCAAGGCTGTGACTTTGTAGAAGCAGAGCGCCACATCTTTCTCCTGTAGAGAAGCTGGTGAGTTTGAACCACTGAACTTTGGGTTAGCAGCCAAAATACTTAACCAATGCACTAACAGAGCTCTTTCTACAAGGTTCTACAGGCAGCTATGCCACACAGAATGCAGGCGTATCAAGCCCTTTTGGACCAGCACTGAAAGAGCTCAATTCCCTCCCTAACTGAAAACAACAGCTCCCCTGTTGCACCCGGAGACCTTTGACATTAAGTATGATGACATTCAGAATGTTCTAAAGTCTTACTAGTGCACAGACAGCTCCTTGCAGGTGTTGGGGCTCTGGTGTTCTATTTCCCTTTGACGACTATTGACACATCTCATTTCATTATATTCAGCTTTATTGAGCTTTACAGATGGTACAATTTCCACAGATTAAAAGTCTGTGGCAATCTTATACAAGAAAGACTCTTGGTACCATTCTGCCAACAACGTGAGTCACTTCCAAGCTCTGGGTCACATTTGATAATTTTTCACAATGATTCATGTTGTTTCATACTACAATTATACATTTAATAGACTCCAGCGCCGTGTGAACACAACTTCCACGCACCCTGAGAAACCTGTGCATTCATGAGACTCACTTTACTGTGGGGTTCTTGAACGGAACCTGATATCTGTCTGCGGTCTAACACCCAATGCAAGATGAAACCGTATTCCTCAGACCTCTCTGCCATTCATTTATTTCTCCCTCTGCAGACCTAATCATTAGTTGGGATGCCAAGGAGCCTTGGATTGTGATGACAATGTGCTCTCTAATCCAGGAACAACCATTGAATCTGGAGAAGGGATGACCTACTTTGTGCCTGTCTTTGACGGCTGTCCTGTGCATCAGTCGACCCTGCAGCTGGACATTGCGGGCCAGGACCTAACGTTGTACTTCCTGCAGCTGCTGACAGAGAGTGGGCACCAATTGTCCAGCTTAGGTAGGACATGCTGTCCCAGACAGGTAGCCAGATCCCTGGGGCGTAATGACCTTCCTAGCTCACAACAACCTATAACCCTCCAATCCATCAAGCTGATACAACCTGACCATAGTCAGATTCTAGAGACAGCCATGCGTAGGTTTATGGGATTGAACGGATTGGCAATGACATTGATAGTTATGATGGTTGTTGATTGAATTGTGTATCCAGAAATACGTGTTGAAAACACTAACCCCAGTACCCATGGATTCTTAGCAGGAGTCAGAGAGAGCAGCGCGTTCAGTTACTGGGAAAAGAACAACTCAGAACAGGAGGATGAACGTGGTTGCACAACTCAGAGAATGTGATCAATGTGCCTGGACTGTATGTGTAGAAGCTTGATCTAGGCTTTGCTGTGTATATTTACAACAAAACCAGAAAATAAATTTATGCATGTTGTTGTTGTTGTT